ACCGATCATGCAGAGCTTCTTCACGCGGAAGCTCCCCAGGAAGACGGAGGAGTGGCTGGAGAGGATGCTCGCGGCGCGCATCGCCCCGGAGCTCGACGCCTTCGACTACGCGATCTGCTCGGCCGCCTGGCGGGACGACGCGCTGTCGGCGGAGCGCTGGCTGAGGCAGGTGGACGCCCTCGGGATGGCCCCCAGGGCGTCCTCGGTCTCCGCCCTGCTGAGCAGCTGCGCGAGGAAGGGCCTCAGCGCCGCGGCCCCAGCCCGCCGCGAGCGCGCCCCCCCGCGCGCAGCGACTGCTCGCGGGCCGCCGTGTGCAGCGCGCAGGTCGGCGCGCTCGGTCGCCCGGCGGGGCGGGGGGGGGGCAGCCTCGCCTCCGCGCCGTTTGCTCGTCGTCGTCGTCGTCGTTGTTCCTGACCGTCCTGTGGTGTTGGGTCGCTTCTCGGTGCCCCCGTTTAGCTCCAGCGCTGGTGCAGCCAACCCTGCCTCGCCGCCCACTGACAAGACGTTGGGCCAGCTTTTGAAGAGGCAGCGCCCCGCGTTCTCTCATCTCCACGGCGCTCGCGGGCGGCCAGCTTGCATTTTCTGGGCTCGTCATCTCGCGGCCCTCCTCCCATCCCTGCCTCCGCCCTCCGCACGTCAGCGATTTCGGCGCACGCCTCACGCGCTTCGTGGCCCCACAGCGAGCTCCACCGAAGGCCCCAGAGGGAACGCTCGCATGTGGTTCCCCCGACCAGTGCAGCGCTTCGTGGACCCATGGCGAGCTTCACCGAAGGCCCCAGAGGGAGCGTTCGCATGCGGTTCTCAGCCCATTTCAGCGCACCCCTCGCACGCTTCGTGGCCCCATAGCGAGCTCCACCAAAGGCCTTAGAGGCGACGTTCGCATGCGCTCTCCCCCCCCCCCGGCCAGTCCAGCGCTTTGTGGCCCTGTAGGGGGCTCCACCGAAGTTCCCAGAGGCGACGTTCGCATGCGGTTTCCCCACCCAGCACGTACAGCGCTTCGTGGCCCCATATGGAGCTCTATAGAAAGCTCCGGAGGTGACGTTCGCAAGTGGTTCTCCCATCCATGACAGCGCTTCGTGGCCCCATAGGGAGCTCCACTGAAGTCCCCACAGGCGACGTTGGCATGCGGTTCCCAACCCAGTACAGCGACGTTGGAGCGTTCGCATGCGTCTCCTCCGGCCAGTACAGCGTTTCGTGGCCCCACAGGGAGCTCCACCAAAGGCACCAAACAGAGCGTTCGCATGCGGTTCCACCACCCAGTATAGCACTTCGTAACCAGTAGGGGGCTCCACAGAAGACCCCAGTGGCCCCGGCCGCCTGCGTGTCCCCCCCCCCGGTGCAGTGTCTCGTGGACCCACGTGGAACTCCGCCGAACGCTTCAGTGGCCGAGGCCGCATGCGTCTCCCCCACCCATTACGGTGCACACCTCTCGCGCGTTTCGTGACCCCAGAAGTCACCACCCACCAAACCACCCCAACCCAACCCGAAGGCTCAGATTTACCCTCCATTTCTAGTGGGGGGGGGTCCGGGTACATCGAAAAAACACATATGGAGCCCATACCCCCCCCAACCCGAAATTCGGGTCTTCGGGTTGGGTTGGGGTGGTCTGGTAGGTAGTCAAGAAGGAGCTCCACCGAAAGCGGTGCCCTCCACGCGGTACTCACCACTGCCTGTGGCTGGGCCTTTCGCCCGGGTGCTGGCTCTTCCTCCCGTGCTGCCCGCGCTCCCCTCGGGCCGCGGGGCCCTCGTGTTCTCCCCGCCGCGCCGCCTGGCTCGTCCCCTCCCCTCCCGCCTCCCGGGCCCCCGCCTCCTCGTCCCGCCGACGGCCGTTCCGGTCGGTCGTCCCGCTCGCTCCGTTCGGTGGAGGCTGCGCCGCCTGGCTCGTCCCCTCCCCTCCCGCCTCCCAGGCCCCCGCCTCCTCGTCCCGTCGACGGCCGTTCCAGTCGGTCGTCCGCTCGCTCCGTTCGGTGGAGGTCGTTCGCTCCTGCGGCCCGCAGTCCTCGCCCCGCCGCTGCTGTGCCCGCCGGTGCACGGGTCGTCGGCCTGCCTGCCGGAAGGCTCCGGCGGCGGCCACAGCGGCCACGTCTTCGTGGCGCCACCTCGCGCGGTGCGGCACGCGCGTCGGGGCGCCCCGTCGCCCGATTCGGCGCACCCCTCGCGCGGATCGTGCTCCGTGGGCAGTTCCCATTGCTGCCGCAGTGAGCTCGTCATTGTGGTGTCGGTCTTTTTCTCCTCGTGCTCTTCCGTCCCTCTCGTAGCCCTCTCATCCTTCCCTTCGTAGTCCTCCTCCTTCTCGTCCTCCTTGTCCTCGCAGTCGTGCTCGTCCTCCTCTCACTCTTGCCTCGCTCTCTGTCCCTCTCTCTCTTGTTGTTTGTTGTTCTCTCTCTCTCCCTCTTTCTCTCTCTCTCTCTCTCTCTCTCCCCCTTTCTATCGCCCTCTCCTTCTTCCCAACCCTCTAAGGTCTTGTGTTAGGTTCTCGCGTCGGGTAGAACACTGCTTGCTTCAACCTTCCTTCCCTTCTCCTCCCCCTCCTCCTCCTCCTCCTCCTTCTCCTTTTCCTCCTCCTTCTCCTCCTCCTCCTCCTCCTCCTCCTCCTCCTCCTCCTCCTCCTCCATCCCCCCTCCTCCTCCAAGCCCCCCCTGCCCGAGGTTGGTGATTCAGGGGCGGCTGCGCAGAAGGATGCGCATTCATAACCCGCGCCCCGCATGCCGCGCCCTCCTCCCGCGGTGAGGCGGCGGCGGCTCCTGGCGGCGCTGCTGCTGCCGATGTTCTGGGGTTTCGGACGGCTCTGGGTGTTCTGGATCTTCTGATGAAGTATGTTTACTGGAACGCTTCGAATGCAAGCTCGGAGGAACGGCTTCGTGATATGTCTGCTGAGTTTCGCTACGTTGATGTGATTTGTCTGAGTGGCGCTGGGGAACGGAGGACAGATGTTGACACGATTCGTTCGTCGCTGCCTTTCCATGCTGCTCTTCGATCGGGCTGGAGTCACAGCCCCCACGTGAACAAGAGTTGCGGGTGCACCATTCTGCTTCGCAGGCGTGTGCTTCGGACGCCGCACCACGTGGACACCCTACTGTGCAGCGGAAAATTTGACATCCTGGTGCTGATGGCCCATTTCCCTCCGAGGCCGTCGGGTCGTCGATTAGCCAGGGAGTCAGCGCCCGCGGGGACCATGCACCAGCAGTACAGGGCCACCGTCGACGCCATTTGCGATTGGGTCGAGAAGACCCTCACACGGGCGCGGGGGCGGTCTGCTCTCTTCTTCGGCTTCGATCTGAATGACGGGTTCGGCCTTCGTCAGCGAGGCCCGCAGATCTTCGAGCAGGTGGACTCCGCGGCGCTGGGGCCATCCAGCTGCAGCACTGCGCGGCCGACGAGATGCTGGAGCTGCTCGAACGCTTCGCGCTCAGGGCGGCCACCAGCGACTTCGACGCGGGGCCGACCGTCCACGGAGTGCGCAGCGCCACCTTCATCGACCACATCGCGGTCTTCGCGTGGCAGGCGCCCTCCGTGCAGCGGGTGCCCCCGCTCAAGAGTGCCAACCTGCGCTTGACGTTGATGCCTCGTCCTGGCCTCCAGGACCACGTCCCGCTCCGGATGCAGGTCAACTACACGCTGCAGGCGCCTCCTACTCGACCTCGGACGGTCTGGGATTTTCGTCGGCTGGATCAGGCGCTGCATCAGGGCGCTGGAGTGGCTGCCTTCGCCGGAGAGCTCGAGGAGGCCTTCGCGCAGCACCCTGGCTACTTTCATGCGCTGTGCGACGCGAAGGCGCCTGATGAAGCCTGGGGCCGCTGGATGGGACAGTTGGCAACCGCGGCTCAGAAGCACTTCGCTGGCCGTCCCCCCGTTCCGCAGCGAGTCCAACGACTTCGGGCGGAGCGACTTCGCTTGCTGGCCGCTTGTCGAGACGTTCGAGAGACAGGAGGCGACCCCACTGACGTGGCCTCTGCCCTCGCGAGGGCGTCGCGCCAGCTGCGCGCGCATCGTCGAGTTCGTCTCGACAGCGAGGTGCAGACCCTCGCGGGCGACATGCGCGCGGCGTGGCAGGGGCGGCAGTTCGCCGAGGTCTGGCGCCTCAGCCACCAGCTCGCGGCCCAATGCAGGGGGCCACGCCGACGACGCTACAGCGCCGGCGACAGCTTCCTCCCGCGGCGCGCCGAGATCGCGCGGCACTTCGCAGCGCGGCGCTTCGCACAGGTTGGCGCCGATGGAGGCCTCGACGCGATCCCGATGGAATTCGAGACGCACCGCCAGCAGTACTTGGAGGCGCCCCCCCGTGCTCCGATGCGTGCGTACGACCACCTCGACCTCTGGCGCGAGGACTTCGAGAAGCTGGTCGAGGTCCACTCGAAGCCCTCGCGACGTCGAGCTGCACCACCTCACAGTGTTCCAACTGAAGTTCTTCGGCTCGCCCTCGAGCCCTGGCGTCGATATGATGGCAGATGCAGGCGACGACGACGCCCGCGGCGTCCTGGTGGCGAAGATGAGGAGGATGATGAACCTCACCCTCGCCCTCGCCCTCACCCTCGCTTCGCTGGCAGCCAGTTGCCTCGCCCTCGCCCTCATCGGGCGCGCGCGCGGCGCGCGGGCGACCGTGGGCCGCGCGGCTCGACTCGCGCTCCCAGGTGCGCGGCCGTCACCCTCCCAGAGCCCGAGCGGAGCTGCGACGTCGCCGCCGTCTTGCTCGCGATCGCCGCGGACTCGGCCTCGACGTTTACGAGATCGACGCGCCCGTCGCCGAGCGCGCTCCGATGACCATCCTCGCCCGCGCCAGGAGGGTCAAGCGCGCCCCGCCGATCTGGCACGACTCGGTCACCACGGACCCCGACAAGAACAATGGGAAGGCCGAATTCACTTCCAAGCGTTTCGTCCACGGTCAATGCAGGGTCGGCACTGCCTGGTACAAAGCTCAACTCCAACGCGCGCCGCGGGATGTTCCACCGCCGCGAGAACGCGAATGCCTGCGAGGTCGCAATCGGGAAGGCGCGCTTCTTTGCCAGGAGGGACTTCTCGGACGTCTCCGTCGGCTCGGCTGGGCACCTCTCCCCTCGCCGCGAAGGAAGACGTGAGCAACGCCTTCGGCTCCTCCACGCTGTCAGCCCTGCGCCAGACGGTCTCGGCCGCGGCGCGCCCAGAGGGGCGGGACTATTTCCACCAGCGGCCCGAGCTCACCTTCCGCGTCATCGGGGCCGACGGCGACCAGGACCTCCACGCCCGCTGCGGCGCTTTCATGGGGGACAC